TGAATTCCAACTGTCCTTCAACTGAAAAATGCTGTAATAAAAGACACACTTAAGTACCAACAACAATGCATTACAGAAGGTATCTGTGGTGAAGAAAGATCATCTAAAGACAAGCTCCAGGCACCACTCAGTCACTCACCTTCACTGCCAAGTGATCTTCCCAGTCATTGGTCAAGCTCTTGTAAAATTCTCCATACTCCTCATTAGTAATATCGTCGGGATTTCTGGTCCAGATGGGCTTTGTTTTGTTGAGTTCTTCTTGATCGATGTACTTTTCCTTAATCTTCTTCTTTTTCTTCTTGTCACCATCCTTCTTTTCTTCTTCTTCTTCATCAGAACCAACATCTTCAATTTCCGGCTTGTCTTCAGAGTCTTTCTCTTCTTTTTCTTTTTCTTCTTCTTTATCTTCCTTTTCTTCAGCCTCATCATCACTGACTTCTTTATCACGTTCCTTCTCCACCTGCAAAGTAAGACATGAAATCACATCACTGCTGCATTCTAGAACTGGTAACACTGAGCAACTATTTTCAACCTAAGGCCAAAGCCTAGTCAGCCAAGCAGAGAGGCAGCCAGGCAGCTTCTCATCAACATATCTTACAAAGTTAGGTAGTAGAGTTTAGGTTCCCCAGACTCCAAACTAGTAAATAACCCAAGTTCAACACATCTAAGGACTAAGGATGTAGCTCAGTCACCCCAGTCATCTACAGACAGTAATACACCCTACAATTATACAGAAACTTACAAAAAGAGTAATGGGATAGCCAATAAACTGAGAATGTTTCTTCACAATCTCCTTTATTCTTCGTTCCTCCAAGTACTCAGTTTGGTCTTCCTTCAGGTGTAGGATAACCTTTGTTCCACGACCCATAGGTTCACCTGTAGTAGTAGGGAAAATTGACTCAATAATCCAATCAATTTAGCGTTCAACGCCATGCCTAACTCATGTCCACAAAGTGAGATTTGCCATTACTACAGATGAAAAGGTTCCCACAGCAGGTCTAAGTGCCTTGCCAGAAAGAAGTAACCAAGTCATACCGCATTAAGTGCTCTAGCTTGTTCCTGAACGTTGGGCAAACACAAGTTTCTGTAAGCTTCACAGAGGTCCATGGGCTGCAGCACCCCACCCTCCCGCCACTGACTTAACCCGTGCATGCTCGGTCACCTACCTGTGTCTGTCCTCACTGTGAATGATCCCCCTGCTGAGGACTCCCAGGCGTACTGCTCATCATCGTTATGTTTGGTGATCACTGTTACTTTCTCAGCAACCAAATAGGCAGAATAAAAACCAACACCAAACTGGCCAATCATAGAGATATCTGCACCAGCCTGCAAAGCTTCCATGAACGCTTTGGTCCCAGACTTGGCAATAGTACCAAGGTTATTGATCAAGTCAGCCTTGGTCATTCCAATTCCAGTATCCACAATAGTGAGGGTTCGATCTTGTTTGTTTGGTATAAGGTTAATATGCAGCTCTTTCCCAGAGTCCAGTTTACTGGGATCCGTCAAGCTCTCATACCGGATTTTGTCCAATGCCTATTAACAAAAATTTCAAATTAAGCATACAGCCCCCCAACCCCACTGAAACCGAAACCCTATTCTGGGTTAATAAGCGACTTACATCTGAGGAATTTGAAATGAGCTCTCTCAGAAAGATCTCTTTGTTCGAATAGAAAGTATTGATGATCAGTGACATCAACTGGGCAATTTCTGCCTGAAAGGCGAACGTCTCCACCTCCTCCTCCTCCATCGGTTGGTCTTGGGTCTGGGTTTCCTCAGGCATCTGGAAGGACACCGAGCCGGTTTAAAACCCTGCAGGACGTCTACACGGGCAACACGAAATTCCATCGCGTCCTCCAAACGTTTTTAAAGCCCAGCTGGAGATTTGCGGAGTTTAAGTAAACCGAAAATAGAAGGGCGGCTGACAAAGGATGACCTCATTTCGCGCGCGGCAACCACCAGGAGCGTGTGCGCGCTTCCGGGAGGCGGCCGCGGGCCCCGGCGGACACCCCGCACCCTCCCGCGCGGGCCGGGGCGCGTGGCGGCTCCTCCCCAGCGGCCGCCTCCGCCGGCGCCCCAGCCGAGCCGGCCGAGGGGTCCCCCGCAGCCGGGGCCCTCCGTTCCGGTGCGGCGCCGCAGGGGCGCCTCGGGGAGCCCGCGGCCGCCGGGCCCATTTCTGACGCGGGCGCGGAGAGCGCGGCCGGCCGGAGGCCTCCGGAGTAGGCAGCGCGGCCTGGCGGATTCCGGGCTCCGGCCCAGCCGCCTCGGCCCCCAATCGCCCCTCGAGCCTCCCCCACCGCCCCTCACCTTGGCTAAGGGACCGCACGGGCTCCGCAGCGCAGCAGCACCAGGACGCTGAAGCAACTGGCGCTCCGCCCCCGCGCCTGCCTTATATACCGACGGGCCCGCCCAGCGCGCGGCGCTTTTTCCAGAAGCCTCCCGAACCTTCCGGAAGAACCCTCCCCAACTGCCGCGGCGGCCGCGCGCCTGCGCCTGCGCCCTCGCCGCGGCCCGCCCCTCCCCCTGGCGCGCGCAGGCCCCGCGCGTGGCCCGGCCCCGGCAACCCTCCCTCAACCGCCGCCGCGCGCCCCCTGCACGCCCCCGCGCCAACCTCAGTGCGCCTGCGCGGCGCGGAATTCTCGGGAAGGTCCAGGCGCCTTTCCTGGCCGCCCGCGCCCCCCGCCCTGCGCGCCCTCCGCCCTGCACCCCCACCCGCCGAGCGCGGGCGGACGGCGCGCCCGGACGTGCGGGCCTTTGTGAAATGCGCGAAGGGGAGGTGTCGTTGGTCACCCGTGTGCGGGTGCCGTGAGAGCGCCGCGCGTCTGACAACCCGGCTGAGCAGAGCGCGGGGCCTGGGCGGGAGGCGCGCCTGAAGGGAGGGCCGTGTGTGGACCGGAGCGCCCCGGGTCTCACGCGCCGGCTAGACTGCCCGAGTCGTGGCCGTGCTGCCCCAGAACCCGGCCGCAGGCGGCGCTGGGATCGCGGTGCTCTGTTCACCGGGGGCGGGCCGTGGGCCACCCGCTGCTCACGGAGGACGCCTCTGGCGCGGGGGTGCTTGGCTGCCTTTGGGTTCCCCGAAAGCCATGTCCTTCATATTTCAGGGTCCCTTAATTTGGGGTACAAGTTCATGCTCACCCAGCTGCACCAGGCATGATTTTAAAAAGCGCATTGTTTTGCCGATCGATTTATTTGAGGTCTCCAAGTGAAGTATAAGAATTCTTGGGTGATTAACTTGCCCTAAGAGCCAGGTTTGGGGTTTTTTGCTTGTTTGGTCAGGCGCTCCCTGTCGCCCAGGCTGGGGTGCCATGGCGCAGTCTCGGCTCACCTGCAGCGTCGACCTCCCGGGCTCAGGTGATTCTCCTGCCTCAACCTCCCGAGTAGCTGGGACCACGGGCGCCGACACCACTCCCGGCTAGTTTTTGTATTTATTTGTAGAGACGGGTTTTCGCCATGTTACCCTGGCTGGAAGAGCCAGTTTCTACATGAGAATTTTAGGATACTTTGGCCAGCGCCAACTGTGAGAACCTTGGAGGCGTTGTGGTTCCTTAGAGCTGGCTCAGGTCATCAGCCTGGTGCCCCTGCCTGGCCCCTGTCCTCCTCCTCTTTGTCTCTGGCGCCTCCCATGATGGAGCCGCCTCCTGCCTAGACTCACAGCCATGCCCTGGGAATAATCGAGAAGCTCCTCGCCGTGTAAACAAAGGACGGAGCTACTTCCACTTCCTGGTCTCTGGGGAAACCCAACTTGCTCAGGAGCAGGGGTTTCCAGACTGCGGCCTGAGACCCCCCCCCCAAGAGTGTGTGAAATCAACGGAAAGCGTCTCGCCTGGCATTGCAAAGCGGGGGAAGTGGATGGAAACTAGCAGCCACGTGGCGCGGGCCCCAGCGTTGGGGGCGTGTGCCGAGTCCCCTGGTAGCCGTTCCGCAGCCTGGGGGCGCGCCCCCGGCCCAGGCTTTCCCTACAGCCGCAGCCGGGGCAAATGCGGAAGCAGGAGGGGCCCAAGGTCTTCCCTGGCGAGTGACCCTCCACCTGTTTCCTTCCGGTCGCCACCAGCCACTGCCCCGTCTCCTCACTTGTAGGAACTCTTCCTAACGCAGTTTCTGCCATTGTCCGGGGGGTTGAGATTTCTTACAGAGGAGCCATCCAGGGGCCTAGCTCTGACATTCTTTGTGCTTTGTTTCTGGGGCCTTCATTTTTCCCCGTTCCTCCAGTAAACCTGCCCCAAAGCCCCTCCCTGGGTCTGGGCATCACTGGGAACCACTGTTTCCCGTCGGGCCCCACCTTTAATGTCCCTCCCTCCTTCCGCAAATTCCTGTCTTTCCATCTCTCCTGTCTCAGTTAATAAACAGGACATTGTGGTCCTGTCTCAAGGTGACATTCCACAGTTACCCACAAGTTGAGACCTCTGCTATGGTTTCTATCATCAACACGCCATGGTTTTCCTCTCAGCCCCTGGCTGTTCTCTGTCCTCACACTCACGCAGCTCTCCCTCACACAGCAAGGAGCTCCTTGCCCCCAGGTCTTGTTCCAGCACTCTCACTAATAGGACCTGTGTGCAGATGACTCATGAAGAGCCGGGCCACGACGACGCCGCTCCAGACCTGGATGGTGAGCTCGTGAGCTTCCCCCACCTCTCTGGCCCTCTTTGAGGGCTCGTTAGCCAGGTGACTATCTCACGAATCAAGAACCCCAAGCTTCCTCACAAAGGATCCGGCACTGAGTCCTGCCACTTCTGTCCACATACACCCCCCAACCCACCCCCCACCCCCGCTTCCACACAACTGTCAGCTCACCTGGAAGGCCTCCATAACCACCTAACTGCTCCCTGGCATCTGGTCTGATCCGTCTCCAACCTGTAGCCCAGGTGAGCTTTGACAACATACACCTGGCCCTATCTATTGCCTCCTCCCCACCCGCCGCAAATCTCTTTTTTTAAGGATGGAGCAGTACTTTTATTTTTACACACTTGGACAAGGAGGTTTTCCATAAACAACCTTTCCAGTGGAGAACAAAGACCATGAAAATCAGCCTCCAGATATCAGTAGCTGTGTCTGCTCAGGGCCGAGGCTCCCCCTTGCCCATGTGGTGAGGTGGAGGGGTGTACTTCCCTTCCTTCATCAGTTTATCCCATTGGCTTCAGATGGTATCCCTATGTTTCACCGTTTTTTTCCGAGGTATACACTCTATGAAATCATCATATTCTATCTTGCACTCTTTCTCTGCCCAGATAGTACCGATTCCATGTGCACCTTCTATCCATTCTTTTTCAAAAGCATGGCATTGAGCAGGAAGCTTGTAGGGCTGTTCAGCACTTTGGATTGTCCACCATGGATCTAGGTTAATGCCGAACCTTTTCTGCACGTCGCAGAAAGGCATGGCTTTCCTTTGCTTGGATCTGCATATCCATTGCTTCATGGGTGTTTTTATACTGAAATCAAAGGAGGCCTTCAGGCATAGAGAGGCAAGCCCAGGCTATTGCTGTTTTCTGTTTCATGGATCCTGAGGCCCCGACACTCAGTGGAACGGGTCTAGGTATTCTTCCCAACATAGCCTTGCTCCCCCTGGGCAAATCGTAGCTGACTTCCCATCCTTCCAGGAGGAAGATAGAGCTCTTTAGGCCTGTGAGGCCCGGTAAGTCGCTGCTGCCTACCCATACAGCCCCAGTTCCCACTGTGCTCCTATTTTTATACCTGGCACCCTCCCCGTGACTCCCCCCACAAGGCTGTGCAAATGCTATTCCCTCTGCCTAGAGCACCATTCCCTCTGTTCTTCTTTAATTAATTTCTACCGGACCTTCTGCTCGCATGTTTTCTTAAGAACCCCTGCCTGCCACCCACCAGGCCACGTGTCCTGTCATGGAGAGGTTCTCAGAATGTGGTGCCCTCTCCTTCAGAGTACAGACCACATTGCTCTTCTGCTTCCTGTAGCCCTCCAACCCCAGGCTCTTCCACTTCTGCCTGACCTCCTTTTCTGTCCATCCTCCTCCCTGGCTTCCTCAACAACATATTTTTAATAGATCACCAAGCTCTGCAGATTTAGCCTCCTAAGTATTTGTTGACCTCGTCCCACAGTGATCTTGCTGTCAGGGCAGTCTGACCATTTTCCTCCTCCATTTGAAACGTTTCAGTGTCCCTCCATAAAGCTGGAGCATGGATTCCAGATCCAGGCGGCCTGGATTTAGATCCTAGTTCAGCCGCTGCCTGTGTGACCCAGAGCAAGTCACTTACCCTTTCTGTGCATCCAGTTCAATATCTGTAGAATGGGCATGAACATGTCTTCTTCATAGAGTGGTTATGAAGCTTAAGTGAGCAGATTCTGGTTTTGGACATGGCTCAGGTGCTAGCCTACCCCACAGCAATTTATGCCCCCTTACATGCTTGCCAGGCAGCAGGCTAGGTACTGTGCATGCAGTGCCTTTTTTTCTTTTCTATATTCATTTTCCTCAATATGCAGTGCTGCATGCAGTTTCTTAATCCTCTCAACTCTGAAGTAAGTGGCTCTGGTCCCACTGTACAGATGAGAACACAGAGGCTCAGGAGAGGAGATAAGTCCTTTACTCAGGGTCACCCAGAGCAAGGGCCTCCAGGGCAGTTACACCAGGTTTGGCTCATAATTTTTTTTTTTTTTTCTGAGACACAGTCTCAGTCAGGCACAGTGGCTCACACCTGTAATTCCAGCACTTTGTGAGGCTGAGGCAGGCGGATCACATGAGGTCAGGAGTTCAAGGCTAGCCTGGCCAATGTGGTGAAACCCCGTCTCTACAAAGAATTTTAAAAAATTAGCTGGGTGTGGCAGTGCACGCCTGTAGTCCCAGCTATTTGGGAGGCAGAGGTTCCAGGGAGTGGAGATTGTGTCACTGTGCTCCTGCCTGGGCAACAGAGCGAGACTCTATCTAAAAAAAAAAAAAAAAAAAAAGACACAGTCTCACTCTGTTGCCCAGGAGGGAGCACAGTGGCACAGACATGGTTTACTACAGCCTCAACCTCCCAGGCTTAAGCGATCCTTCTGCCTCAGCCTCCTGAGGAGCTGGGACCACAGGTATGTGCCACCATGCCCAGCTAATTTTATTGTTATTTTTTTGTAGAGGTGAGGTCTCACTATATTGCCGAGGCTGGTCTTGAACTCCTGGACTCAAGCATTCCTCCCACTGTGGCCTCCCAAAGTGCTGGGATTACAGGCATGAGCCACTGCAACTGCTCTTGGCTCATAAATTTTCATACATTGTTTTTTTTTTCATTTTCATTCAGTTCAAAATATTTTTTAAATTTCCTTTTCTTATTTCTTGACTCATGGGTTATTTATAAATGTTTTACTTAGTTTTCAAATAGAGGTTTTTCAGATATCTTTTTGCTAATTTTTTTTTTTTTTTTTTTGAGACAGTGTCTCGCTCTGTCACCCAGCTGGAGTACAGTGGTATGCTCTTAGCTCGCTGCAACCTCCGCCTCCCAGGTTCAAGCAATTCTCATGCCTTAGTCTCCAAAGTAGCTGGGATTACAGGCATGCGTCACCACACCGGGCTAACTTTTTTGTATTTTTAGTAGCGATGGGATTTCACCATGTTTGCCAGGCTGGTCTCAAACTCCTGGCCTCAAGCGAACTGCCTGCCTCAGCCTTGCAAAATACTGGGATTACAGGAGTGAGCCATTGTGCTCAGCTGTTACTGATTTCTAGTATTTAATTCCATTGTGGTCAGAGATCATACTTTGCATGATTTCAATCCTTTTAAATTTATTGAGCCTTGTTTAATGGCCCAGAATATGGTCTATTTTGGTAAATGTTCTTTTTGAAAAATAATTATGCTGAAAGATACCAGTCATTTATACAAAATTTTATAAAATGCAAACTAAGAGGCCTGGTCCGGTGGCTCAAGCTGTAATCCCAGCACTTTGGGAGGCTGAGGGTGGGCCAATCACGAGGTCAGGGTTAATGACCAGCCTGGCCAACATGATGAAACCCCATATTTACTAAAATTACAAAAATTAGCAGAGTGTGGTGGCATGTGTCTGTAGTCCCAGCTACTCGGGAGGCTGAGGCAGGAGAATCGATTGAACCCAGGAGGTGGAGGTTGCAGTGAGCCAAGATCGTGCCATTGCACTCTAG